ATCTACAATAAATGAAGAACTACAGGTACACGTCTGTAGTTCCAGCTACTTGGAAGGCTTAGGCAGAAGGATAGATCGCCTAAGCCCAGCAGGATGAGGCTGGGTGTGATCCACCACACCCGATGAAAATGTATACTTTTTTGTTGTTTTGTTTTTTATATATACTTTTCAACTCAAGGCTTTCATTTAAAAAGATTGTAACACTAATTTTAAAAAATCCAAATACATCCTATTTATAAGAAACACTGTCTATGGTGTGGTGGCTTGCACCTAGAATCCCAGTGCCTTGGAAGGCAAGGTGTGAGCCTGGGAGCTGAGACCATCCTGAAAACTAAAAAATAAATAAATAAAAAGAAATACCACCCATAACATAAAGATAGTTTCAAAGTAAAATACTAAAGAAGGCTAATATACCTGTACTAAAATTGTCAGGGGGAAAAACAGACCTTAAGGAAAAGCATTATTACAGATAAAAAGGTCGCTTTACATATAATAAGAGGTTCAACTTGAAACCATGAATTTATACACACATACACACATTAGTGTATGTGGAGAAGATCTGAATGTAACGTGGCTAAAAGTATCTTAAGCTGAAAACATACAGAAAATATTCCACTGGGAACAAAAGGATAACTGAATACATCTGACACACATAAGGCTAAGAAGCCAATTCTCAAGTAGTCAAATAAGGACCTTTAAATCAACATAGGCCTGCACACACAACGGTGACCCCTCAAGATTGTAAAGGGAGCTGAAAAATTCCTGTTGCCTAACCATGTCATAGCGTAAAGTATTATTCATGTTTGTGGTGAAAAAAACCTACTGCTGTGCCAGTAGTATAAAACACAACACAATTATATACAGAACATAATACTTGATAATGATAATAAATGACTATGTTACTGGTTTATGTATTTACTATATTAGGCTTTTTATTGTTATTTTAGAGTATACTCTTACTTATTAAAAAAAGTTAACTGCCTACAGCATTCAGTACTAAAATATGCTGTATGGGTCTATAGCCTAGGAGCAATAGGTATATAGCCTAGGTGTGCAGTAGTCTATACCATCTAGGTTTGTGTAAGTACACTCCATGTTTGTTATTTGTATTTCTCAGAATATAGTCCCATTGTTAACCCATGCATGACTGGATACGTAAGCAAATTCCATGTTGAAAAAAGAGCTCAAGCCCTAAGTGCTGCAGCTTTTCCCTAGGGCACAGTGGAGCCCAAGACAGTGTTTTTAAATTTCATGCTGCTATGGTTTGAATATTTGTCCCCTCCAAAATTCTTACTGAAATTTGATCTCTAATGCGGCAGTACTGAGAGCTGGGGCATTTAAGGGGTGACTAGATCTTAATGAATTAATCCATTCATAGAGTAATGAATTAATGAGTTATCACGGGAAGGGAACTGGTAGCTAAGTGGAAGATCTGAGCTATGTATGCTCAGAACCCTTCTGATGTGATGCTTTGCACTGCCTCAGGATCCTTCAGAGTGCCCACCAAAAAAGTTCTCACCAGATTCAGTTCCTCAACCTTGAATTTCCCAGCCTCCAGAAATATAAGAAACAAATTATCCAGTTTCAAGTATTGTTATAAGCAACAGAAAATGGATTAATTATACATGCTAATCTACAGAAGAACAGTTTATAAGAAAATATCCTCCTCATCTCTACAATAAATCAAAAAATCAGCCGGGCGTGGTAGCACAGGCCTGTAGTTCCAGCTACTTGGAAGGCTGAGGTGGAAGGATCGCCGGAGCCCTGTCGAGGCTGTGGTGGCCAGGAGCGGCCTCTGCACTCCAGTCTGGGTGACAGAGTGAGACTCCAACTCAAAAAAAAAGAAAATATCCTTAAAAATCAGTACAAAAACTACCTCGTAAGTTCATCATTGCTGTTATTTAACCTTGGTTAAGTTCTTTAACCACTCTGTATCCGTGTCCTTGCTAAAATGTTGATGCCACCTACCTCTAAGAGCATTAACTGAGTTAATAATATATATGAGTGTAAAACAATGCCTGAGTAATCACCCAGTGAGTTCTGACTATTATGTATTACTTACCTTGTGCTCTTCTTCTGTATCCTCTTTAAAAAATTCAAAGACTCTTCAAAATTATAGTCCAACCCAATAAAAATCAAAACATACAAAACTTCTGAACAAGTAAAAATATACCCAAACAATGTAGCAGTAAAAGACAGTTGGTAGCCAGAGGCCACTTTCTATGGAAAATCCATCAGTGTGCCTAAATGGTCTGCTGTCTGTGTACTAAACAAGTTACCCAAGAACTCTCACCTTCTAACCCCTGCTCTGTCCAACAGGAACTTACTCAGATGAAACTAGCTGGAAATGGAACTTAATATTATCACTAATTATAACAGGTCCAACCAAGTAAAGAATGCTATAAATATTACTCTATCTCCCTTTACCCTACTTTTTATTCAGGGCACTCATATACAGGTGCTAAGATAGTTACCCAAAGAATAAACTGAGAACATAATTACAGGGTTGATTAAACTTGAGGATGTGAATGGACTTATCATTAATAAGTCAATATTGACAAAGATTCACTCTAATTCTTGCATTATACTTAAAATTTACAGCCAAGCAAAAAGTAAACAAAGTACTGTATTTTATTTTGACAATGTCAGACCTTTTGATTTACATGCTTTCCCTTTGTTTTGAATATATTTTGGGGAACTTAGAATCAAATCAGTCACCTGAAGCCAATTGCAGCAAGTTGAATAAAATGAGATATGGTGTTTTCAAGTAAATTTCTTCTGGTACTTCCCCTGCAACCTCAACTATAGGACAAAAGCAGTCATTTGCCACATCCAATATTTGCTTAATAATTCTGTCAATTAATGGGCCTAATATAAAAAGTACTTTGCAGCAGATAAAATCTAAAGATCTTCAAATTGGTATGGCAAAAATGTTTAAATTTCTATTCATTAATTAACATAAACAATGTTGGCTTGGAAAGAGTATCTAGGAAAGTCAAGGTTTCAGATGTCCAAGTCCATCTACGAACGTTTAGTTCCATATATCCTCCAAGGAACCAGTCTTCTTAAAACTTAACTGTACAGTTTAGATAAAGACCTGCTATTTAAACTTAGGCAACTCCAAACAGGATTGAGACATAAGTCCCGGTAAACCTCATGTCCCTCCCTCAGCTTTAAATAAATTACCCTACCCGGGTGCAGTGGCTCAAGCTTCTAATCCCAGCACTTTGGGAGGCCAAAGCGAAAGGACTGCTTGAGTCCAGGGGTTCAACAACTGCCTGGGCAACTTAATGAGACCTTGTATTTACAATAAATCAAAAAATTAGCGGAGCATGGTGGTCAGTGTGCCTGTGGTCCCAGCTACTTTGAAGGTTCAGGCGGAGGGATCACCTGAGTCCAGCAGGTTGAAGCTGCGGTGGCCGCGAATGTGCCCGTTAACCTCGGCCTGAGCGACAGAGTGGGACTCAAACTCAAAATATAAATAACCCTGTACATAAAAAGATTACCCCCTTAACCAATCAAAGGTAATGTGTATTACTTCCTAAGTAAATTAGAAGTATTACTTTGACAAGTACTACTTTCAAAAGACTCCAAAGATATTTTGATTCCACCTATTTTCAAAAAATGTCAAATTTCATTTTACAGCAGCATAAACCTTGGGATTTTAAAGTATAGACGTTTCAGAACTGATCAGACCAGTGACAGTCTAAAACAGGGGTTCGGTGAAGACACCTTGTGCCTGGTTCATCTTTACTGTACTCTCCAATAGTCCTCCCTGACAGGAGGACCTCAGTCCCAGTCCCCTTTTTTGACGAAGTGGGGCGCACAGGCAAGGCAGCAGGCTACAAACTTAACTACGTTGATTTAACGCCTCATTCCACCCCATCGTCTTCCATTTAAAACAAAAACAAAACCCAGCTAGGTACGTTATCCTGGAGCTAATTTGTAAGACAGCAACAGAAAGCCAAAAAGAATAAAAGCCATTACAGGCCAAACTCTTCTATTTTCCTTAGAACCGCTTGAAGGTTTAGATAGATGAGGATCAATCCTCCTCCTGGCCAAGACTCCCATCTAAGTTCTGTTATTTGGAATACATAAAATAATCTTTGGTTAATACCCGCCCACAGAAGCGCTTTACACGCGTTAATTCTTTAAAATCCCAGCAGGAGGCCCTTCCCCATCACCCACCCGGTGACATTCACACTTTCCTCCCGCACCCAAAAAAGAGCCGCGGGGAAGAGTCGGCAACCCCGGGGACCAGGCCGACGAGCTCACTCTCCCCTTTCAAAACCCACCCCCCCACAACTTTCGGTCAAGGAACGTGAGCCCCTGGACTGGGGTCTCCCAACAGGCCCCGGCGGCGGACGCGAAGCCCAGGACCACGTGTCGAGGGAAGCCGCCGGGGGTTCCCCCTCCCCCCGCGGCCGCCTCCAGGGGGCGGAGTGCCCCAGCGCCTCGCGGCCTCCCCCGCCCCCTCCCCGCCTCGCGGCCTGGTCCCTCCACGGCCCCTCCCTCCCTCCCGTCGGAATTCGCAGCCTCCGCTGTGCTTTCCATCCCCCAGCGGACTCCCCCGGGCTATGGCTTCGGGGAGGAGGGGGGAGAACAGGAGTACCAAGGAGGCAGCGGGCCCCGCACTCGGGCCCGGCCCGCACGCCCGGCGCCTCCCATCCCTGGCGGCGCGGCCACCGTCTCCCAGGGCACCCAGGCTTCGCCGCGGCCTCAAGCCGTCCGCGCGGGGAAGACGGTGGTCTGAGTGAGCCTCGGGGAACCGCAGCGCACCCCCCCCACCGGCGGCGCCGACCCCCACGTCCCCGAGAAACCCGTCAGTCGACCCGGGACTCTGCGGGCGGCTCCGACCTCACAGGACGACGCAGGAGGCCCCGGGAGGCCCGCGGCCTCGGCTCGCGACTCCCCGGGCCCCATCCCTCCGTCCCTCCCCTCTGCGCAGGCCGCCCAGCCGCCTCCCCGTCCCCCTTCCTTCTCAGGCCCCCATCCGTTACCGGCGGCAAGCACGGGGAGCCAGGCGGCCGGAGCTGCGCAGGCAGTGACTCAGGGCGGCAGCGGCGGCGGGAGGAGCGAGAGGCGGCGCCGCGAGCAGATGGCGCTAAAAAAGACCCGAGAGCCCGCCGCTCGCGCTCATATACAATTAGCGTCAGCACGTAGGGCCCGCTCCGCCGCCCTCGTCGTCTCCTAGCAACGCGAGCGGGAGGCGGGTCCAGGCCCGTTGCCTAGCAACCGAACCGTCCTTCCTCCCGGGCGCCCTCCACAGCTCCGCCTGGGGCTCCTCCCGCCCGCAGCCCCTGCGCCGTGCCTGGGCTCCTCCGGTTCCCGCCAGTGTCCAGCCGCCTCCTCCTCCTCCTCCTCCTCCTCCTCCTCCGACGCACCCCGCCATCTCTTTTCTCCTCGCCGCTGCCCTGACAGACAGATCTCAGCCTCATCCGTTAGGGGAAAAGGCCTGCCCGCGCGCCTGGGCCCCGGCCCGCCTTGCCCCCTTGAGCGATGCACGGGGAGGGAGGGGGCCTGTCGCCTGGTCCTGGGCTCGCCGCATCTTAGACGAGAGCTTCTTAGTGCCCATCCCTGTGAGGCTAATAACCCCTGGTGACCATTTTCCCTTGACGCCTAAGAAAAACAGTTCTTTTCTCGAGACCACCTCGGCGGCTTCTGCCGGCTTGGGTGCTTGTCGTCCCTACCCGCCCCACATCCTTTTACCTGTCATACCCTCCCTCATTTCGACTTTCTTTTGATGGGTGAAAATAGCATATTTGTGCATTCTCTGAGTGCATAATAATAAGAACACTCGATATATCCGGTGTCATCTTTCTGAAAAAGTAAATCCTATTTAATTCTCAAGCTTGTGAAATCTCATAACTATTTTTCAATTGATGCTAGCTTGACTGCATTAACTATGAAATGTTCTCAAAGTGTGGTCAGAGGATCCCAAGACCCTTTCAAAGGGAAGGTAAAAACTATTTCCATAGTAGTACTCTGCCTTTTGCACTCTCATGCTCTCACAACGGTACAGTGGAGTTTTCCGGAGGCTACATGACGTGATAAGGAAACTGAAAATAGAAGCAGATAGGAGCATTCAGTCATCTGTTGTTAAACCAGACATAGAAGAGATTTGCAAAAATTCGATTGGGGGGACAGTAGTTATTTTGTATATAAAGTGTTATTTTATGATAACATTTCATTACTTTTTTTTTTTTTTTTTTAGTCTCACTCTGTCCCCCAGACTGGAGTGCAGTGGCCG